CTTACATGCGCTCTGCTGACGTCTGCAGGGGTCCAGAATGTAACCCCTGTGCAAAACAAGGATTGCCTATACTCCTTTATATTTGGGTGGTTCTCTCTTGATTCCAAGCTGATAGGCACTTGACCACCTGATATGATGAAAGATAATGGTTTCCCTTCATGGATCACTGCCTCCCCTTCATGGATCACTGCCTTGTCGTGGTGAAGGGGCTTGAATAACTCAGAGAAGCTATGAGCTATGCCGTGCAGGGCCACCCAAGATGGACAGGTCATAGTGGAGAGTTTTGACCAAATGTGATCCACCTGGAGCAGGAACCGGCAAGCCACTCCAGTATACCTGCCAAGAAAACTCCATGGACAAAGACAACAGGCATATAAAAGTTATGACGCTGGAAGATGAGCCCCTCAGGTCGGAAGGCGTCCAACATGCTACTGGGGAAGAGCAGAGGACAAGTACAAGTAGATTCAGAGCTGATGAAGCGGCTGGGCCAAAGCCGAAAGGACGCTCAGTTGCGGATATGCCTGGAAGCGAAAGGAAAGTCCAATGCTGTAAAGAAAAATATTGCATAGGAACCTGGAATGTAAGAACCATGAACCTTGGTAAGTTGGATGTGGTCAAAAATGATATGGCAAGAATAAATATTGACATCCTGGGCATCAGTGAACTAAAATGGACGGGAATGGGCGAATTCAGTTCGGATGACCATCATATCTACTACTGTGGGCAAGAATCCCGTAAAAGAAATGGTGTGACCCTCATAGTCAACAAAAGAGTGGCAAAAGCGGTACTGGGATGCAATCTCAAAAATGATAGAATGATCTTGATACGAATCCAAGGCAGACCTTTTAACATCACAGTAATCCAAGTTTATGCACCAACCACTGGTGCTGAAGAAACTGAAATTGAGCAATTCTATGAAGACTTACAACACCTTATAGAAATGACACCAAAGAAGGATGTTCTTCTCATTATAGGGGATTGGAATGCTAAAGTAGGAGTCAAGAGATAAAAGGAACAACTGGCAAGTTTGGCCTTGGAGTTCAAAACGAAGCAGGGCAAAGGCTAATAGAGTTCTGCCAAGAGAACAAGCTGGTCATCACAAACACTCTTTTTCAACAACACAAGAGACGACTCTACACATGGACATCACCAGATGGGCAGCATCGAAATCAGATTGATTATATTCTCTGCAGCCAAAGATGGAGAAGCTCTATACAGTCAGCAAAAACAAGACCTGGAGCTGACTGTGGCTCAGATCATCAGCTTCTTATAGCAAAATTCAAGCTTAAACTGAAGAAAGTAGGAAAAACCACTGGGCCGGTAAGATACAATCTAAGTCAAATCCCTTATGAATACACAGTGGAAGTGAGGAACAGGTTTAAGGATTTAGATTTGGTGGACAGAGTGCCTGAAGAACTATGGATGGAGGCTCGTAACATTATACAGGAGGCAGCAACTAAAACCATCCCAATGAAAAGGAAATGCAAGAAAGCAAAGTGGCTGTCCAACGAGGCCTTACAAATAGCGGGGGAGAGAAAGCAAGCAAAATGCAAGGGAGATAGTGAAAGATACAGGAAATTGAATGCAGATTTCCAAAAAATAGCAAGGAGAGACAAGAAGGCCTTCTTAAATGAGCAATGCAAAGAAATAGAGGAAAACAATAGAATGGGAAAAACCAGAGATCTGTTCAAGAAAACTGGAGATATGAAAGGAACATTTCATACAAATATTACCATAATAAAAGACAAAAGTAGAAAGGACCTAACAGAAGCAGAAGACATAAAGAAGAGGTGGCAAGAATACACAGAGGAATTATACCAGAAAGATATGGATGTCTCGTATACCCCAGGTAGTATGGTTGCTGACCTTGAGCCAAACATCCTGGAGAGTGAAGTCAAATGGGCCTTAGAAAGCACTGCTAATAACAAGGCCAGTGGAAGTGATGATATTCCAGCTGAACTATTTAAAATTTTAAAAGATGATGCTGTTAAGGTGCTACACTCGATATGCCAGCAAATTTGGAAAACTCAGCAGTGGCCAGAGGATTGGAGAAGATCAGTCTACATCTCAATCCCAAAGAAGGGCAGTGCCAAAGAATGCTCCAACTACCGCACAATTGCACTCATTTCACACGCTAGCAAGGTTATGCTTAAAATTCTACAAGGCAGGCTTAAGCAGTATGTGGACCGAGAACTCCCAGAAGTGCAAGCTGGATTTCGAAGGGGCAGAGGAACCAGAGACCAAATTGCAAACATGCGCTGGATTATGGAGAAATCTAGAGAGTTCCAGAAAGACATCTACTTCTGCTTCATTGACTATGCAAAAGCCTTTGACTGTGTTGACCACAGCAAACTATGGCAAGTTCTTAAAGAAATGGGAGTGCCTGATCACCTCATCTGTCTCCTGAGAAATCTCTATGTGGGACAAGAAGCTACAGTTAGAACTGGATATGGAACAACTGATTGGTTCAAAATTGGGAAAGGAGTACGGCAAGGCTGTATATTGTCTCCCTGCTTATTTAACTTATATGCAGAATTCATCATGCGAAAGGCTGGGCTGGATGAATCCCAAGCCGGAATTAAGATTGCCGGAAGAAATATCAACAACCTCAGATATGCAGATGACACAACCTTGATGGCAGAAAGTGAGGAAGAATTAAAGAACCTTTTAATGAGGGTGAAAGAGGAGAGCACAAAATATGGTCTGAAGCTCAACATCAAAAAAACGAAGATTATGGCCACTGGGCCCATCACCTCCTGGCAAATAGAAGGGGAAGAAATGGAGGCAGTGAGAGATTTTACTTTCTTGGGCTCCATGATCACTGCAGATGGTGACAGCAGTCACGAAATTAAAAGACGCCTGCTCCTTGGGAGAAAGGCGATGGCAAACCTAGACAACATCTTAAAAAGCAGAGACATCACCTTGCCAACAAAGGTCCGTATAGTAAAAGCCATGGTTTTCCCAGTAGTGATGTATGGAAGTGAGAGCTGGACCATCAAGAAGGCTGATCGCCGAAGAACTGATGCTTTTGAATTATGGTGCTGGAGGAGACTCTTGAGAGTCCCATGGACTGCAAGAAGATCAAACGTATCCATTCTTAAGGAAATCAGCCCTGAGTGCTCACTGGAAGGACAGATCGTGAAGCTGAGGCTCCAATACTTTGGCCACCTCATGAGAAGAGAAGACTCCCTGGAAAAGACCCTGATGTTGGGAAAGATTGAGGGCACAAGAAGAAGGGGACGACAGAGGATGAGATGGTTAGACAGTGTTCTGGAAGCTACAAACATGAGTCTGACCAAACTGCGGGAGGTAGTGGAAGACAGGAGTGCCTGGCGTGCTCTGGTCCATGGGGTCACGAAGAGTCGGACACGACTAAACGACTAAACAACAACAATGGTTTCTCTCCCTGCAACCCAACCCAAGTGGAAATAGTTCATTCTCTTTCCCCTCCATTTTCTCTTCTACCCCAAAGACTAACATTTAGCCTTCTGCAATCTGGCTTTGTACTTCTAAGCATAAATGGTCATTCATCAACTCTGCATGGCTATGCATTTCTGCTAATGACCTGATATGGGAACCTTGCCAGTTCTGCTAATAACAGAGCCACTGAGTAGGCAAAAAAAGAAAAGAAAACCTAGTTATTGATCATTATTAGTTTCTTGTTAAATGAGGTGCGACATTGACAATTTACCTGCTTGGTGAAGAAATGTGTTAGTAGCCAATAAGGCAAGGTATTCCTCATGTCTTCCTTTTTCCTTAAGCAGTCATTTTAAAAGCACACATATATAGAATTATATAATATACGTAAAAATATGCCTAAAATTACCCTGTGTCTATCCCTAACAACTAAAATATTTCTAAATAGAGAAATGTTACATTTAGGGCTGTCATTCATTTGCTTTCATTCATATTAAGTGAGTAATGAATTAAATTTCAATAAATTTGCATATTGCTTAAACCTCCATACAGGTGCATTTCTGAGATATTGAAAGAAATGTGAGCTAATGTACAATGTAATAAAATAGCCTCCATCATTCATTGTTTACAATTTACATTTTTTCTGCTATGGTAAGTTGCAAGAAACCTAACAGCCTTAAGAAATAAGCATTTCCCGCCCTTTACTCAAAGCCCACCAGTTAAAATTCACCTCCCAGCCAATTAATCAACTGAAATGTTAGTTGATTGATCTCCTGATTATACTTGTGTGCAGCATAATCCTAGGCATGCTTACTAGGAGGAAAATCCAACTGATTTCAATAAGACTGATTCCAAGATAAGTGTGTTTAGGATTGTGTCCTCAGACTACAACTATCATCATCATCATCATTTATTGCCTTCCATCAGGATCAAATCAGAAACTGGGATGGCTTCTGTAATTCTGGGACTGTCCCTGGAAAATAGGGACACTTGGATGTTATAATGTAAGTCATTCTGGATCACTTAGTGAGAAAAACAATATGGGTGTCAGGATTACAGATGTCCCTCTTACAACAAGAATGCAGCAAGCTAGCAGTTTAATTGCTCTTAGATTTATTAGTATTTACACAGTTGTTTCAGTCTGAGCTCACAACTCAGTCATCTGCTGACAATGATGTTGAGCTCACTAAAGGGCGGGTTCTCCACCAACAGGATATCCTCCATCGGCCACCCCTCCTCCTGTTGGACTGATATCAAGCCTGGACCCTACTCCTTCATCGTGTCTGGGGACTCGGGGGGCAGTTTGCCCATCCCCCTATGGAGCTGTCTCTAAAGGCTACAGTTCCTCTGAACCTACCTCTGTCTGACCTACGCTATCTTGGGAATTTACAGCCAGCTCTCCAGGACAGGAGGGGCTTGCCTCACTCTCAGTATGGGAAGGAAGGAAGCCTCTGTTTTCCCCAGCCTGCCGCCCCTCCTCTTCGGAGTCCTCGCTGTTGCTCTGGGAAGGGATGTTCTAAGTATGATACACTGACTGGCAGCTTCTGTCCAGAGTTTCAGGCAGAAGTCTTTTCCAATTATACTGGAGATATCAGGGATTGACCTGGTACCTTCTCCATTCAAAGCAGATGCTCTACCCCTGAGCTACAGCCCTTCCTAGACAGGAAGCGGTATAAGAATATTTCCTGTTCCAACTAAGCTTGGCTTTGGCAACAAGGTGCTTCCTGACTTCTGATATGTTCCTCTAATTCTTGGTTATTTTTCTATATGGAATCCTAGTTTGGCCCTCAACCCTACCACCTGGCTTCTCCTTCATTCACTGCCTACTCTTTGCTTAGCTCATTCCCTCCTGGTTCATCCTTTTTGGTTCTGACTACAGGCTGACCCCATGACTCCTGGCTTAACCCAGACTGCTGCATTCCCATAGGCCTCTGGTTGGTCACTGTGAGAATGCAATGCAAGATTAAATGGGCTCCCTTTGGCCTGAGCCACAGCAAGTTTCTTCTTATTCTCATGGAGCAAACCTGGCAGGATCAGGCCATAATATTCTGCGCCTACCAAAGTGGAATCCATACATTCATCTTTCATGTCCACATTTTCACCTTCTGGGAGGCAGACATGAAAGCAACAGATCCTTTATCATCTCACAACCTCTGCCAAGTCCTTCATACTTTTAACTTATCCATTTCCCTTCAGAATTCTTTATTTTTTAATTTTTTTACAACATCCTATTAAAAAGGAAAGTGCTAAAGAGATCTAAAGCTGCAAAAGGTTTTGCTAATGAGAAGGTGCTGAGGACAATTTCAAGTCCACTTTTTCCTTTCCATCTCTTTTTTTTTCAAAGAGGGGGATATTGATTACTATTTTCAATTTAAATCTTGGACAAGCTTCTTCCTCTCACTCCCTCTCTTTCCCCCCACCCCCTGCCCCAGCTCTCCTTCTCTCTGATGTGCATGAGGGTCCTTCTAGTTGCAAGCAATGAAAACTAAATTGCCATTTCTTTGAGCAAGATTGTACTGGGAATAACTGGCGCAAACAACAATGGATGGTATTTGGCAGGGCATACCCAGATGCCTTGGACCCCAAACAGAGAGACCAATTTTCATCCAGTCTGATGGGGGGCTTTCACTAATAGATTGGGGATTTCTCAGAGCCTCTCATCTTGTGGCTGAAACTGAGCGGCATTGACTCCACAACTGTATTAGCTGACCTTTTCTGGAAGTTGCCCAGAATGTTTGCAGAAAGGAGAAAACAAGGAAAGACAGAAGCACCTCCAATTATCAGGGAAAGTCAGGTATTTTTCAATCTCAGCATGATTCCTATGACTGTTAAATACTAGAAACAGCTACCAGGCAGGCTGGTTGAAACTCAGCGTTAACATGAAAAAAACAAAGCAACTGTTGCCATATCCGCTGAGAAGAGAAAACAACGCAAGAGGTTTCAATTGCAAAAGGAGAAACCGAGGCCTGCTTTTCACATCCATGTCCATTGTTGAATTTCTCTGCACTGCACATACATTCTTGCCAGGGCCGGACCTACCATTATGGAGAGTGAGGCAGTTTCCTCAGGTGGCAGATGCTGGGGCAGCACTGGTGAGGCGTTGAAGAACAGGGCTGCTGCCCTCAGGTGTAGGAAAATCAAACTTCCAATTGAGTTGGAGTCAGCATATGGAATGGGGGAAGGATCCATTTGGGCCAGCCTTGATACTTGTACAGTAGCATGTTCCAGAACTGCTAGACACAGCTCTTGCAGATGGACACGTGCCAAGGATAAGGGTGACTTGGGTTGCTTATATTGAACTTGACAGTATGGAGCCCCACCTCACAAGGGTGGTGTTGGCAGGCTTCTCACTAGGCCCAAAGCATCTGCAGTGAGGGGAGTTGAATCAAAGTAAAAACAACAGAAGTCTAGGGATCTGGAACAGTCACTGAATAAACTGAGTCAAGTCCCAACAAAACAAGGAAACTGGGAGGAGTCATAGAAACAGTCCCCTCTGAGGTTTTAAGTGTTGTGGTGCAACATCGGATGGCAGGTATATCCTACCTGGTTTGGGCCATGCAGCCCCTGAAGAGTTGGCTAAGAGGACATCCCACCCTAGAAGCAAAAAAGATGTCCCACCCCTTTTACAAATCTGGACGCCTGGCCCTTGAAATATTAATGGGAATAATTATGATTCAATGAATGTGTGAGATGGCATCTGATTCTAAAGTCTTCTGCTGCTCAGTGATTTTTGCCACCAGCCCTCTCATAGGAGCTTAGGAAGCTGCCTCATACTGAGTCAGCCCATTGGTCTGTAGCACAGCATTGCCTACACTAACTGTCAAAAGCTCTCCAGGGCTCCTAGCCATCTCTGGAAATGCAAAGAATTGGACCTGGGTCCTCCTGCGCACAAAGCAGATGCTCTAGCCTTCATTCTCCCCTCTCTCTCATTCATTAATCCACCATTCATCAATTCTCTCTCTCACTCACTCTTATGTTTGGGCTGCACCTCAGAAGGCCCCCCAGAGCCCACCCCAATTCCCAAATTGCCTTGAAATTTCCCTAGGTAAAATTCATGGTGGGATCTCACTCCAATATCTCAATGTTTTCCATGTTTCCCAGGCTGAAATACTTGGGAAACCCTTGAGAAATATCACACACTGGTCTTACTGAGTCCTTTCCATGACTGCAAAATTCTCCTGAGATGTTCCTCTCCAGCAGGAACCTCCAACTTTGCCTCGGCTGCTTTCTGTCAGCAAAATTTCCCTGCCAGCTCTATTCTTAAGCCTCCTTTGTAAGTTCTGCTTGAGGGAAACAGTTGGCCTTCCCTGAAGGGGGTGCCACCAGGGGCTCAGTTCAGAGATCAGCTTGGCAATGGCAGCCGAAACGATTACAGCCAAAAAGAAGTGCACTAAACTGAACCTAAGAGGCTCATTTTGCAGCAAGAAAGACTTTGAAAGGGCCATTCACTTTTCATCACTCTCGAATCACCTGGGAATAGGATGGGAAATGCTGTTAAGGGCCATTTATTCCAGGGAAGGAACAAGTGGACAAGGAGGCTGCTGGCTCTTGATGCTCAGGCAGCGCCGACTTCAGTCTAGCCTGCCTGGTGCGGGGAGTTAGGGAGAGCTCCAAATTAAATTCCTCTCATTGAGCCCTGAAAAGCTCTAAAGGGTGGCCTGTACAAGATGTGTTGGGGAGCTGGGTGATTAAGGACCTATGCCCAGTGGTTGGTGGTGTCACCATTTAAAATATTGGGGGCAGCGGGGGATCAACCATATAGGTCAGGCAGGCCACATAAGAGGAAGGACCCCTAGACATCTTTGCTTCTTGGAATCAATTTTTTCTCCCATGCTCTTTAATATCTGCATGAGTCATTGGGTAAGGTCATCCAGAGGTTTGGGCTAAGGTTTGTTTTGTTGTATTGTGATTTTTAATGTGATGAGCTGCCCTGAATGGTGCATGGGCATTTTTATATACATAAAAATAAATATATTAAGATATATCCATCACAATGCTAAGTGAATGTTCCATCAGTGCGAGGATTTCTGTTTGCTGAACAAAGCATTCTCCCCGTCTCCTCCTCTTGTATGTCCCTTAAATCTCTTCTAGATGTTCAGTGAACCTTCTGAAGCAGATGTGGGCGAGAGTTGCATGTGGAGGGAAGAGGGGGAGGAAGTCTCATTGCAGAAGTGGACATCTTTGTGTTAACAAGACATGGTAGTTGAATACAGTTGTTGTTGTTGTTGTTGTTGTTGCCAAAATAGGTTGCGAAATAAAAAAGCAAATGCACAAACACTGAAATATGAACACCCATAACTAAAATATATGATAAAATAATCTCATTACACTGTGAGGTAGGGGTGTGTGTGTGTTCCATCCATAATTAAGATACACAAAAACAGAAGACTCAGGTCAAGAGATCAAGGAAATACCTGGGTGCATCTTCACCTATTTAAATAAGTATGCAGGTGACACACAGCTCTGCCTCATGTTTTAAGATTATTGATAGCTGTCCTGGACTCCAGGAAGGAGGAGGATGTGGCATAACAACAACTAATCAGTTGGCCAAGCATGCCTGGAGGTAACCGAACCAGGATCAGAGTTTGGAATTCAATAAGGTCTGGATTAATTCTGGGTCAGAGAGGAGAGGTTTCTGCCCAGCTCTACTAAGGGTCAATGTTAGTTTATTTCTCAGAAGTAGGAATGTTAAAATGCCCTGTTTTCCATTGTGCCATGCAGCACTGTTTCTCTTCTGCTGCAGTTTCCCTTCTGCCAAAGTTCATTATTCATCTCGCTACCTGCTGTAGCAAAACTATGTAATATACATAATTTGTGTAATTAATGCCATAAGTTATGCAGGTTGCCTTGTTATTACGTTATTCCAACCTCTTCATTTCAGTGCAAAGAAAATGTAATACAAACAGGGGGAAACATGCTTAATTACATATTATTTGTGGACTGAAAGCAACAGCAGTAGGAGACACCAACCAAATTCATTGGACAGAGTTCTTTTCCAGACATGGGACAAATAAGTAAAAGTTGCCTATTTCCACTCCTATTTCTGTTTTCATCAGGATTCTCTGACCTTTCTATCCATCAGCATTTCCCACTGATTTCAGTCAGATTTACTTCCAAATGCACTTAGGATTGCAGTCTCAGCTGTCAGAAAGGACACCTTGAATTGATCCCGGATGTCTCTAGTCAGGGCTGATGCTGGAAAAACAGTGAGGAAAGCAGAAAGAGCCGTCTGTCTTTAAGCTGAAGGGACTGACAAAGAATATTTGAAAAGTCCAGCAAAGTTGGTGTTCAGGGTCATGAAACTGGCTGTTCTGAGTGGATTTCTCCCCCACCAAATAAACCCCCACCTTTTGCTGGCGCATCAGATATAGATTTTTTCCCCATCTTCTGTTGTTGTTCTATTTGCCTCAAAGGTTAATACATGTTGGTTATGAATGGGATTTTTGCAAAAAGGCAATTATCTCTAGCGCAATTATAGAGTTTCCCACTCAACAATAGATGGCTTCTCTGTATATACATTGTAACTACTTTTTTCTCATTAGCATTGGCTCAGTTGTTTATTGGGAAGATTATTCTAGCAAAGGAGCTGGAAGGATGTGATGGTGGTGGTGGTGGTAAACTCGCTGCCTTGGCTGCACCACCCTTAGACTATCACAT